TGATTCTATTTTGGACGCAGTAAATGATGCAATGGGGCGAAGGGCTGTTCAGAAGGCATTTTTTGAGTCAGCGGCACTCGTCGGAGCCAGTATTCTTCAAGTGTTCCTTCTTCGACGCCTCTTCGAACGAAAGTTGGGCGTCTCTAGGGTCTAGGTGATTGCCGACATGAAATACATTTGGATATATGCCCTAGTTACTCAGCTTGTTGTTGGACTTCCTGTTGCATTGCTTAGCGAGAAGAACAAGACTTTGTACACTAGTAGAACAATTTGACACAATCTTAAGTTATACTGGAAATGACATTAAAATTGCTTCCTTTAACCTCTTACCTTGAAATAAACCGAATAAAGCTGTAATCTTTCGTTGATCTGAGTCCAAGTCCTTTCCGAGTTTCCGTGTTTCACCAGAAGCATGATGAGATATCTGACACTAGTCGTGAAGTGATCAAACTGTGCTGGCCGTTTGCCCAAAACACAAGTCATCACGAACTAGGTTGATATGATACACAAATATTATGAAATACTCGTGCTGGCCGGTTCGAGTAAGCAAAACCGATTGTCCGAGCAATTATATGCTACCAATTAAAATCACCTTTGCAGCACTAAATATCATTTCAGATGCTTAACAACAATACAGTTGTGCAGTCACAAAACCATCATTCTTCCACAGAAATCTGTTTGAATTTGAGCAAGACCAGAGTCTTTTAGGTGGCCAAAAGAGTAACCTGGAAAGAATAAGGTTATATATTGCAACGAAAACCAATTGACACCAGTACAGAAGAAAGAATTCAGAGGGGCAGATATCACAAAAGCTCTCTACAAGCTCATAGCATGAGGAAAATGGAAATAACAGATTGGATGACCATATATATAAAGTGCATCTTTACAAGATACAAATGACCTTTGCATTTCAAATCATTTTTCTTTTGCCCTCACCAAAACCCGCAGTTTTCACAACACCCAAACGAAGAAAAGAAAAAGAACAACGAACTCCAGGAGGATTCATCACCCGCTCTACAGCTCCCCTATCATCTTCTTGAAAAAACATTTATATGGTGGGACGACATAACAGTTCCATGAAGCAGCTTCTTCTGCAGCCAATAAATTTGTCAAGCTTCCGCGGCTGGACTTTGGATGCAGCAGAACCATTTCTTCTGAAAATCACCACCAAGAGACAACACAAATATTAGATAAGAAAATCACAGGGAAGAATCGTTAATGGAGCACCTGAAACGCATTCATTTGTGACACTCTTAGAAGTAAGAAACTAGGAATCACAACGGGTGGTACTTATCTGAATCCCTACAAACCTGCCCCATGGTATCCACTGGCAAGACACGGTCGGGGCAGGGAGACCCATTCTAACATGGGATTAGGATAAAACATATACAACATCTCAAATCTATTTGAATATATAATTGACTGAGACTACGAATAAGTATTAGAGAGAATTGAGATGAAGCAGGTCGGGCTGGGACGTGGAGTAAGACCCTGCCCCACCTCAGGTTGGTCCCTGGGTGGGACAGAAATGTGCAGGCCAAAATGGCCATCCCTACAAGAAGCACACTAGGAGAGTGCTGCAATGGCAATCATACAAATTAAATGCTCATCTCTACACTCTGACAAGAGATTCAACCTTCGATTAAAACAAAAGGCCACACCTCATTAAACTACATAGAGTTTGGCCATCTGTGCATGCACTTTGGTGCCAAAGTATAGGAGATAGACATGGGGGGGGGGGGGGGGGGGGGGGGGGGATCAAACTACTTACACCAGGAGGCTTTCCATGCTCCATTGGAGCCTTAGTATGAGGATCTCCCTTTCCTCCTGGAGAATCGGGTTTGCCACCGGTTTTCTTCTCATCCCTAGCCTTGTTAAAGATCACGATAAATCCCTCGGCTGAAGCAGGATCATTAACATCCCATTCCCCGAATTTCGGCAATGGCCTACCTCCGTCCTGGTTAGAAAGACATACAAAGTAAGAAACTCCCACCAAGAGACTCATAAAGTTTATGAAAGCACAGAAGCATTCAAACAACGTAATGAAGAAAAGACAAAAGTTGATATGGTTTTTCTTTCTTTTAACATAGAGATTGAGCTTCTGGAGCCATAAGAATGTTTATCAAACAGGATACCAAACTAACCCAAAACCACATCATGTTGATGACTAAAAACATCGAGAAGTTACATGTTAGGCAAAGTCATGCAGTTCTTCTTCATAACTACAGGTTCACCGTTCACGGTAACTAAACTAGAGAAGGCCATATCTTCAGAACTACATTAGCTAACTCAATTAACAAAGCTCAACATTGAATCACTATGTATAATCGAGACAGCAACTTCACCTCACTCTCACCCGTTCCCATTTCTCACACCTGACTTTCTGTGCTCCAAGTATAGCAAGGAAGGCAAAACGGACAAACAGAACGAACAGTTCCTGCCCCACCTTGCAAACTACAGAAACTAAAAATCAGAGCCCTTGAGCTAGGATTGGAGAAGCCGACACGAAAGAAGCAATCAAATGCAAAAGAGAAAGAAAAAAAATTGGTAGTTGAATTGGAAAGCCGAAGCAGTGAAAATCGGAAGCCCCAGGATTCTCCAAGTCCAAATCGAATCAGATGAGCAGTTCCTTCACCATTTTGAAAAAAAAGCAAATAAACATCGAAAGAAAGGGGAACCCACGAATATTCCCAAAATTCAAGTAAACAAAACTGATCGGCAGCACACCACCCAGAAGAAGAAACAATATGCCACCCCCGAGCATCGAATTCACATAATTGAGCAGCCAAACAGCAAAACCCAATATAAAAGCTTTCATTGCACATCAGCAGCAGATGCCAAAATAGCGTCAAAATAAATATCCAGTTCGAATCAATTGGAAATCATAAGCAAAGTAGGAAGAAAAAAGCTCAAAAGGGTCCCAAAAAAAGTTATGAACTTTACAGCGCGAATAGAGTAGTAATACAGGCAAGCAAAAAAAAAACAGAGGCAGAGAAAGAGAAGAAACCTTCGAGCAAGCAGCTGGAAGAGGAGACTTATGAGAGAGAGAGAGAGAGAGAGAGAGAGAGAGAAGAAGAGAGAAGAAGACGGAGAGAAATTGAGGAAGCGAAAAGATTTTCCTTTTGAGAGAAAGAAGGGGGGAGAGAGAGAGAACTTGGACCGGACATTGGGCCTAGCTGTGTTTGGGCTTTTCAAGATAACGTAAGGTTTAGACGGTAACAGAGAGAATATTTATATAACTCACTCGGATTGAGAAAGGCCGAAAGCGTCAGTCAGGTGACCGTCCGTCGTCGGCGTCAGCGATGACGTGGTGAGAGGGAAACGGGACGGAGTGAGCTGGCAAACGGTGTGATCCACTCCTTTTGAAAAGAGAGAGAAGTAGTTGGTGTACAGCGTACACGGAGGCACTGCCTTGCTGGCTTTTTTTTTGTATTGTAGGGTATCATTTGGCCTTTTCAATAAATAAAAATAAAAGCTTTTTATTTTTCTCCTAGTTTGGGATTCTTTTTGGGTAAATGCCACATTTTTCTCCATAGTCTGGGATTACTAAGTCATATCATGTTTAGTCACTAAAAAAATTTAATATCAATTTTGGTCACACGAATGACTGAAACAGGTCAGATTTAGTCACTCTCTTGTAGCTTCTGTCCAACTCCGGTCATTCAAATTATTGAAACATGTCACATTTAATCACTCGAATTACTGAAACATGTCACATTTAGTCACTCGAATTACTGAAACATGTCATATTTCAGTAATTCGAGTGACCAAAATTGATATTAAATTTTTCAAGTGACTAAACATGATACGATTTAGTAATTTTAGTAACCAAATGTGGCATTTACCCGATGCAAGAGTCACATTCACAAACAAAATGACTCGAACCGGTTCGAGGGTATACTTCTGTACCCGATCAATTCTGGTGATGATGGTTGCTGATTCATTACGGGTAATATTCGCTTTGAAATATAACAATAGGATAGAGTACGAGTTTAGCTAATTACTCATTCTTACAATAGAGAGAATTTTCTTCCATTGCAATTGTTGTTAGGATTATGATCTTATTTTGTGGTCATCCTAGTTTTAGGCCTCACACCTTTTAATATAGTAGTGCTCTGCCTCTTTTGTACAATAATATTGTATATAAACCTAAACAATCAAGCGATCATAATGAGGTCAACTTGGATATTTCTCTTCCACAATAATAGTGTTGTAAGTATTTTGGATTATCTTAACTTAACATTTATTAATTTATTAATGCCTATATCCACCATGCCTTGCCTAGGACATTTCTGTTGGGTCTGTGCTCAAAAACTAATGATGAGTTTGTTGTATTTTCGAGGACGTGTTAGTTGCCGGGTCGAAAACATTACGATTATTCCAATAATCATATCTACTACTGGTGTAATCCATATGTTAAGAATAAATGGATTACTATACTTTGAAATTTAGCCCTTCAACGTCTATAGTGTAGCGAATTTTATTACAAAAATCTAGTTAACAGATCTGACATCTAAACAAAGCAAGATCCCTCGGCCTTCCACAACATATCATCTCGACTAAAAGAACTCGTCATAGCTTTTCGAGGCTTGCTACTTTGATTGATGAAGTGTCCTCATAATTGTTGTCCATCACCCAAATTTATGCATGGTTCCACATTGCTTACTTATCAGATTCAACCTTCCAATACAATCGTGTGCCTGCTATCCGTAACAGTGGAGGAAGCACCCAATCGTTTTTCTTTTGAGATAGATATTCCAAAAGGACCGGCTAGATATGAAAGTATATATAAGCCCTTTGCAGGCCAAATCACAAAACGAAAAGGAGAAAACAACTAGATATGAATATAATATATATATACACACACTACCGCTAATAGTTGAGGCAGCAGTGCACGCAATTTGCAACTTGGTTGAATAATGAACACATGAGCCATTAATAACTTGGGGGAACCAAAACCAGTAGCAGGGCAGAGAATCTGCTGATGGGATATCCTTCAACTCCTTTCATGGGGTATTTTATTAAGAGGGAAGGCCATTGTTGCTGTCAGGGGAGAGACAGAAGCCAGCAAAGACGAACAAGTATGGCACAGGCAGGCATTTGCCGCGGTTTTAACTTTCGTTAACATGAATTCTCAGTACTGATCTGTCACGTTACCATGTCTTCTTTGATTCACTTTCTTATTGATTCCTGTTATCAACAGAGGGGGAAATGAGCAGAAGAGTATCGCCAAGGAAACACTAGATTTTCCTGTCCCCAGATGTAGGGTTTTGTCACTCAATCTCACGACTCAAACCATACACGAAACCCTCCTCTTCGTTCTCATTCGCCGTCAAGCAACCCATCAAACCAGACATGCATAACAAGTAAATTGAACGAATAGTAACATTGTCTCATGTTCCCTAATTATACAATAACGCTATGCCATCTTTAGAGATCATGCCACGTTACAAGTCACAGTCCCTGCAATTTCGCAATATAAGTCGATAAGAGAATAATCTGAGCAAGGGCTAATGGAATCAAAATTTTCGGAGCCATGGAGTTGTGCATCCCATACATAGCTGGTGTATACGGTAGAAACCGGCCATAATTCAACGGTTCTGGGTCTTGAGACCAAACAAATTCTCAAACAGTTTAGGGGCCATATCTGGAATATCCTCTGGCCGCTTAGCCATGAAATTGACTATCTTTTCGTGTACATTGTACCTACAAAACCGGGAAGTAACTTGTTATTCATGTCCGAGGACTCACCCTACAGATATGAATCCGAACTTGCATGCTTCTTTCAGTTTCCTACCTGATCTTGCGGGACTTTGAGGCACGTCGCTCTACCTCCTTCCTCTTCTTAGTCTGAACTCTTTTTACAGCATAAAATGCCATCTCTGGTGGAAATCAATATAAAGGATAACAGCTCAGTCTAAAGTCGCGAGTTAAAAAGTTTTGCAAGCAAGGAAGATATATTTGCACTGGCAAAACCAGTCTCCTAATTCATAAGGAAGTATGACCTAAGTCGTAAAGATGATTGGTAATAATACACACGCAACGATAGAAACTAGGGCAGTGGAAGAGGATGCAGTCTGGAGGATGGACATAATACTAACCACTTGAGTTTGGGTCAAGTGCCTCAAAGAATTCTTTCAGTAGTTGTTTGTAAAACTCAGTATCATCAAGAAGCTCAGGGTCACCATCAGGATGCGTTTCCTATAAAAAAATTTGATTTAGTTAACACGACAGTGTAATAATATGATGAATGAACGCCTCTTTGCATTCTGTGATCAATCATGTCCAGTAAAGTGATGACAATTACCTTGCCATTAGTACTGCTTGCCTTATCTGGAGCCAGCTCACAATCAGGAAGTGTAGCCTACAAAAAAATTCAATAAGTTAACTCGACAGTGTAATGATGAATGAACGCCTCTTTGAATATTGTGATCAATCGTGTTCGATAAAGTGATAATAATTACCTTGCCATCACGACTGCCTGCCTGCTCCGGAACCTGCCCATTCATAAACCAAGTATAGACCAGAATGTGACCAGTCTGCTCAGCAGAAACAGAAAAACAAAACAAGAAGCTGTAAAACAACTTACAGGCCCAAAGATGTTAACATCAGACTTTCTCAACTGCATTTGCTTAACCATTCTGCTTGGATCCCTCATATATGCAGAAACTTGTTCACTGATATTCTGTGAGCGGAAAAGAACAACCAGTGAGTTCCCCTACAAACCACACACAGAAAGCTTACTTGTAATAACTGAAAAAAAAATTCCAACCTGATTGAAAGCTTGCAACTTGTTTCTAATAGCTGCTACCCCAGTTGTAACTTCTGTCTTCCTCTGCCACTTGTCTATGGATTTATTTCTAAATGGAGCTACCCTACAAGACAGAAGGATATAAGTTCCTTTTAAATGGATAAATGAACGATCTCACAGGACCATCATTTTCATGCTCAAGTTAACAGAAAACTAGATGCAACTCCAACACACACAGAAGTCCGATCAGGCAAAAAGAAATTGGAAGTCCATCCATGTGCAGAAACAAAACTCAAACCTCGAAAGACATTAAATTTTCACTGCCTAATAGCTAGCTTAAAAGACTTTTGGAATGTAATCCATGTTGGATGAATCGAACTGTAAAGAGATTCTAGATATTCCAATTGCTAAGGGGAACTAATGAGTTTCGATGAACGCGACTACGAGGTTCTTTGAATCTCATTTGATTTAATTTGCAGAGGTATTTCCATTACAGAAAAAGAAACAGAGTAGCATTCAAGAAAACTGAAAGTTCTCATCCAGGGCAGGAGTGATGTACTCTTTATAGATCATCTTTGAAGCAAGAGACAGTTTGTCCACGAGATACCTCAGAAACAACAAGGTTAAGCATTAATGACTATGAAAGACCTGAAAGCTACTGCTATACCTTGTATGCATTTGTGAAATTTTAGACCATTCTTCATCTTCATCACTCAAGGACTTGGAGTCATCTGACTGCTTCTTCACAGGTTTCCCAACATTACCTTCAGATAATTAAAGAGAGAAATCAATTAGGCTCCAATAGCATGTAGAATTTCAGGATGTGGACAAGCTACTAACTTACCATTAGATGATTGAGAAACAGAAGGATTCTTTTCTAGTAAAGCCTGCAAATAACAACAACAACAAAACAAAAAACAAGAAGAGAGGGTAATTTACAGAAATATAACAGTATGAAGATTATTCAATAATTGCAACAAAGGAAAAACATGTTTTCCATTGCAGACAGACCTCTTGCAGCTCAACAAGGGATTCCAAAGTCTTTTTGGATGATGAAATGAGGTCATCATAAGCTACTCTCACTTCTTCCTCAGAATTGCAAAATGCAGACCGAACCGGTTCCTGCAGACACATCCATACATTACCATAACAATGTGAAATGCCAATGAGCGATGACAAAGGTAAATAGAACATACCAATGGAAGCCTATTTGAGGACGGGAATGCTTTCTGAAGTAACATCCTCAGTTCAAGACCCCTGTTCCAGATAGTCTTTCAAAAAAGGAAGGAAGATATGAGCATCTGGCAGCAGACTAGTCAGTTTTTAGAATGAACATATAACAGAACGTAACTAAATTCACCTTCTGGTTCTTCACCGCCTGGCCTTTAAGAACATCCTCTTCTTTATGGCGTTTCAGGTTCTTTAGCAAGTCCCTGTATGACGACACAAGGTCAGCTTGTCAATAAATGAAACAAAATGGGGGAAACTATTAGAAGACGCCCTGCTAGTATGAAGAATAGCAATCTACACAATTTCCGAACCAACGAATGCCAGGCCATAGTCGCTAACAGACGAAATAGATAAAAATGTATTCTTTTATAAGGCATAGTAATCGGCACCAGTCAGCTTGGATCAGTATCTATGAGCTTCTTGACATTTTAAATCGAAAGGAGATTCAAGGAGTATCAATTCATTAATAGAAAATCAACCTGGAGACATCAGACAAGTCACAAGCTCCACCTTTTCCATGGAAGGCAAGTCTTGGCATAAGTTTCCAATTCATAACGGACTCTGGTAATAACCAAGAGGCTCAACGGTTCTGCTCCTATGAGTTTTCACTTGAAGTGTGCACATTCAAATGTCCAGGCATCAATTTCACATGCTATATCATTTATTTAATCCTTCCCCTGAGCCTCAAAGTATCTCTTCACACTGCCAAGTTATCTAATCAGCAAAACAACTAAACTCTAACTTACAGTTCTTGATTTGGATTGTCCTTGCGTTCCTTCTCAAGATCTTCCAACTCATCATCTTTGTGATAGTCATTTTGTATTTCCCCAGCTTCTTCACCTACCCCTTCCTCTTCGCTTGAGCCCATTTCTTCGCTTTCAATGTCATCTTGCTCTTCATCAGCTTCCTCCTCATCTCCATCTTGCCTCTCCATATCTTCATCTTCCTCATCCTCTTCCGCATCATCAAAATCCCTATCTAGTCCTTCCATCTGCATCCCGAGATTATCATAAATAACCAATCATAAAAATGTCTAACACTATCAGTCAAAACATTAAACCAAGACACTGCCAACCATTAAATCTTGATTCTGCATATCGTCCTGGTCTTCCAGCTCATCGTCACTGTCTCTAGATTTTCTCATCTTCTTCCGAGAGGAACCCATATGTATAACCTAGAATTTCAAGATACCAAAACGTTAAAGCAGGAAATCGCACACTGTGCAGACTTTTTACATGGAATATTTGAAAACAATATATTTCTTTAACAGCGAAAAGGAACATGGTCAGTGAAAACAGAAGACATGATCACACGAAACAGAAACAACAATCAGAGACAGATATGAGAATTTCTAATTCTATTGAATTAGTAGCAGAAACCTCAATCCACACACACACGTACAAAGGGTATATCAATCCGAAAGATTATAAAACGTTTCTGCCCCAAGCCTACACAATGAAGTTCAGGCCCGAAAAATACAAAACAAGGAAAAGCACCGACCAGAGGTGAAGAATCAGGCAAACAAAGAGGCTATAGCTGGTTCTAGAAGTAAAGTTTTGACCGCAGTCTAGCAGTTACACGCAAGTACAGTTCAATAAGACCTAAAGACTCACGCTTTTGAGGATAAAGTTAGGCCAGAAAACAATCGCCAACACTGAATGAAGATAAAGCTAAGTTCTTGGCAGCAATCGCAATTAAATTACCTACAACTAACACCCTCAATTCTCGGCAATACAAATGAAAGCTGAGTTCATCATCTTAGTTAAGTCGGTTTACAGCTTAGTGGAAGTCGCAAACTTGAACAGGGCCGCTCACCTAGGAATTGTCTTCGCGCAACCAAGATCACCTCCGATCTCCGTGAGGCAACGAAGACAGCCTCCCCCCTAGTCGAATTCCGGGATGAAGTTGACCAAGAACTCCCTAGAGTCGTCGAACTCAAAACCCACTTTCCAAATTCCTCAAACTTTCAGGGGCTGGAATTTCGATTAGGGAATTTTTCAACGAGCTACTTCCAGATAGCTGAGCGAAGTTTCTTGGCGGGAGTTAAAGCCTGGTTGGCCTGGCCTGAAAAGACGCCAGTGGCAAGCCTAGAGACTAAAACTCCAGTCTTCGGAATTGGTGTGGAAGGAGAAGGAGAGGTAAGTGTGACTGGGCCTTTGCTGGATCGCGGATGCTGGGTCTCGCCTTCGGGATGGAGAGAAGGGAAGAGGAGGCTGCTGGAGGCGGCGGCGGGGAGCGCTGCTGGAGCGGCGGCGGGGAGCGCTGCTGGGCCGGCGGGGCGGGCTGCTGGCGGCTGCTCAGAGGAAGACGAGAGGGAGGAGGCTGCTGGGTCTCGAATTTTTTAGGGTTGCTTTGCTGGTGTTGGGTTGCTGCGGCAGAGCCCCAAATTAAACAAATTCAATCCGCCCAAAACCCTTCAGTGCCACCGCGATTACTCTTCTTTTTTTTTTTTTTTTTTATAATCGATATTATCGGTACTAGCTTTGAACCCGGCCAGTTGGCCGGGATATGTTTTTTTATCATTATTATAATATGCATATTTTTATATTCGTATCTATTGGAAATGCCAAAATAATTTATATATTGATAAATATGTTTACAAAATAATTCTTATTTCTTGTATCTAATATTAATGCAGATTCATGAAAAGGTGATTACGTGTAGGCTAGACTAATTTATCAACCACAAACTCAAGCATAGTTAATAATCTAGTTATAAAAAAATAATCTGTAGGTCACTTACGTAAAGAATATATTCAACTCTTAGTCGAATTTGACTCTTAACCAAATATATCACATATCCATATTAAAAATAACTCAACAGTTATTAAAACCATTAACCCACTAATGATGGTTGGATGCTCTAACGTTCTCACACTAAATCATTTCATCAAATTTTATTAGCATCCCACTAATGATGGTTGGATTCTCTAAGTCACACTTACATTGATAAATGGTTCTTGATCTATAAACAAACTTTCAATAATTAAAACCCTTAACCCGTATGCAATATAACCATAAAATTTGGGTGAATCTAATTGTATGTTTTTCTTAAGAAAAATATAATTATATGTTTAGATTAAAAACAACTCTTGTATTCTGAATTATATGATCAATATATATTAATCAATGATTCTTGTTATATAGAAAAAATTATCAATAAATAAGACCTTTAATTCTATTATTGTATGAAAATAACACCATTTAGTAGTTGATATAAAAATTGTGTCTTTTTAATAATATATTTTTAAAAATGTTGACTAATTAGTTTAAACTTTTACACTACGTGACCTAGAAAGTATAGTATAAGCATCTGATAATAAATTATTTTATAGACATAAAAAAACTGAAGGAATTATTGAACGGCCTGAAAAAATTAAGCATCATTATATATGAAGAAAATACAAAACCTGAACGGAAAGAAAATAAAAGGATAAATATGGCACAATGAAAAATTGGAAGGAATATGGGGAAAAAAGGAGGAAGGAAAGGTATATCTAACCGTAGAAACAACCAAAACTGACGGAAAATTAAAAAAAAAAAATAATAGGACGGAAGCGAGAAACGCGGGGAGAACTTGAAAGCCTACGTGGCATGAGACTTTTTCTTAAAACGCTTTAATATATTGTAAGATACCGGTATACCGTTGGTAACTACCGACTCTTATCCGGTATTACCAAATGTAAAATCACACGCCCGAATACCGATACCGACTATACCGGATACCGGTTTACCGATTACCAACCCTACAAATGAGGATGTAAATTGTTGTTTGGGGAAAAGTAGGAGGTGTAAAATGGGGTATAAGTTATTGTTGGGTATAATTTATAGTATTATATTATTAAGAAAACTAAAAAAATTAAGAAAATTATTAATTCTTTTGATTTCTTTCTCACTTGCGGCTTCCTCCTTCTAATAAATATATTTATTATATAAAACTAGAGTTGTGCCCGGCCTATTGGCCGGGATGTATTTCATTTGATCATATACTTAAACAATTTTGGATATTTGAATTTCTTATGTTTCTATAATATATATTAATAAATTAAAAACTCTCTCGTATAATCTAAATGATTTGGAAGTTTGAGCTATGAGCAAACGCCTTAACCGACCAATGAATATTTTTTTTGTGTAACATAACCACTACATGTTCTTAAGTCAAAATTCTTGACTTTTACTCCATGCGTGTTAAATATTAACTGAGTCGATCATAAACATATACAATGTATAATAATCAATAATTTTTTATGAGTGGATTAATGCTACCCAAGATAGTCAAATTGATTATCTTATAAATATACATTGTGAATTTTGGGTGAATATAAACTAAATGTCATTTGAAAATGAATTTATAATTTTAATAAATTAATTTAATTTGAAAATTCTTACAAAAAGTATGAATTTTAATTCAATTTCAAATGAAATGTACATATTTTAGATATGTTACTATTTTTTATAGTTAAGATATTTTACCATTGGTACGCTTATCTAAAGGAAAAGGATTTTGCTATATCGGATTTCCATTGAGGAGAGTTTTTTTTTCTTTATTTTTTTTTTCGGAGTGATGGGTGGAGAGTTTTTTGGTAGAATTAAAAGTATATCCAACTTTAGAAATATATATATCCCGTTTTTAATAAAAACAAAACACGTCTAGGGAAAAAAATGGATAACCACCGCTACTTGCAGCCGAGTTAAAAATTTAAAAATACATAGAACTCCGAGAGTTGCGGGCTGGGCTTCAAGGAGTACGTGGCATAGGCACTTTTCTAAAAGCGCTTTATAATATTTTAAGATTTTAAGAAATTAACAATTCTCTCTCTCTTTTTTACTTATCCGCTCTCTCCTTACTCATCTTCCTTTTCAGCGTTTCCTCTTCCTTTCTGCATCTCTTCAATCCTTCTCCAGCTGACTCCATCGTTGAATCCCGCTAGAATTCTCTCTCACTGCGGCCGCGCCGATCTGAGATTCCGCTAACAAGATTTAGCTCTTCTTTACTCTCTCTTTCTCTCTCTCTCTCTCTCACGAATCGACCCCCTCAAACTCTCCGACGACAGCCGCCGTCGATCTTCAAACAGTTTCATCGATCTTTCGAATAGCGACGACGAGGAGGGCATGAAATCGGAAGCCGCCGGCGAGAGGAGAAAGGATATCGGAATCCTACATCAGGTAAGTTTTGGGCATGTGTGTTGTAGTTTGGGGTAATTCTGATTATTGGGTATATCAAGTGAATTGGAAGAAGATGAAGTTCTGCAGAAGTGAAGAAAGGTCTGCAGATTTGAATGAAGAAGAAACCTTACCCAGAAATGTTTCGTTTCTAGGTTCTCTCCACTCAGCGTTTAAATGAAGAAGCAAAGCGACGTAGTGGAGCTTCAGAGTTTTACCGTTGGGTGGACTTACCGTGGCAAACGAGAGATGGACACGTGTTGTTTTACCATTAAGCATTTTCAAATTTCTGTTTTGTATTTCCGTTTTTACTGTTTCGTGAAGAACACATTTCAGCTTTGGTATAAATAGAAATCGCAGGAGATCC